TAATACTCCTACTACTAGTTAGCCAATACTCATGTACCCTCTTCTAAAACTGGTAATACATCTATTAATAATACAACTAACGCCAATAGTAGTAACACCAACTCCACAAATAAAATACAAACTACTTCAAATAAGCTAAAAAACTATAAGGAACCTAGCACTAATCTTGATACAATAAAACACAACAAAAGGAGTAATGAAACACAAAAAGAGAAACAATATAACACAGAATTACACTAATCATGAGCTGACCAAATAGAGGATAATACAGATATCTAATATGTGCCCCAAACATAACACTCTATATATACTGACTGACTGGTATCACCCTCATCTACCAAAACACATGATATACTAATAGATGACAATGTAATTGAAGAAGAACTTCTAAATAATAACTATATAGAAAAATAATCTGAAACTGAGTATACAAAACCCTCCTATAGTCAAGCCCTACAAAATAACTCTACTTCACCCTCAAGGCCCTATATCAAAAATTAAGATAATAGAAACATATAGCCAGATAAGCTCTTAAATAATATGAAAGCTAACCTCACTGACTTTAACACAACTATCTGGTATTATGATCACATAACTAAATCTCTAGAATCACTCGAAGGAATTCAAGAATTTGTAATATATAAATTCCAAACTTGACTAACTTCCTATATTATTCTACTAGCAATACTCCTCAAATTCAAATACTTGAATACCCAATTTTTTACATCCTTTACTCACAACAAACAAATTACCCCTGTACATCAAAAAGAATTTGAGAACATACTAACTACAGCAACTAATACTTACAAACATACTAATAATATTACAATAATCAATCAAGAAACAAAAAATACTATCTCTAAAATACTTAAAATACATCTAACTATTCAATTCTTACTTAATAGCAACTTCACTCAACTCAACAACTTCAATATTTCTAAAATCATCTAATATTGCAGAAGATTCTTATAATTAGACAAAATTGAATAGAATAATCTAAAACAAGCTGTCAACAAAGTACAAACATTACTCCTTATACCTCTACCCAATAACCCTTCTATGATTTCTAATGAAACTAAAAAACTTCTACTATTCAAACTCCCAATTATCAATTATAATAATACTAAAGAAACAGTTATAATATTAAAAAAGATCTTCTTCTTCACACAACTCTCTGAAACCTACTTCCTCAAACTACCACCTCTCTCAAATGATTCTCATGACCTTAACCAAGAGCTGAAAAATTTTTTTTCAATTTCTAAATGAAAGATCTTAACTACTTATTCTTCTACCATAACAAACTTCACAATTTTTATAACTTTAAAGGCAATCTACCAGAGACATATTTCGATCTACTTGCA